TCAAAAATTATTCGTCACAAGCAAAGTTAAGTTCATTGGATCAATCGCCTGTTTGTCTAGCAATGTCACAGCAAAAAGTGTTGTGTTCATGTGTTTAGCGATCGATTTGAGTGCAGTGTATGAAAACCTTCCGATGATTTTGAAAAGTTTCACTTTTTGACGTCAAAATCACTGCAATTGATAGTGACGAGATTATGAGACCTTTGGAGATGTTTTGAAGAGAACACAAATGAAATTTGATTCTATGGAATGTGTTTATGCCCAATTGAAAACTTTATGAACACTGATGATAAATCAGACGTCTGCGATTAGAAAAATCAATTTTTTTGGTAGAATCAGTAAATTTTGATTGCTTGCCGAGGTTAGCTAACGTCAAGTTAAGAAGAATTTCGTATGCAGCATGACTATAGCCATAATTGAAAACATTTGCGGTAGAGACAGATTGAATCGCCATCGCAATCGTCAGATGTTCGACATTCTGCAACAATGAAGATATTTTAATCTATCAGAGCTGAAAATCAGTTGAATGCATCACAGCAATTGCTGATAACTTGTTCCTGTTATGGAACTGATTCAGCACTTATTATTCATCACTCATATTCACTAATTTGACCATATTCAACAGAAACAAACAGCTAAGAAATGATACTGAAAATTTTGGCTTATTTAAATTTAGCTGCTGGAGCGATTTTGAAAATCACACTTAATTTTGTATGTTCCCTATAAAGCTNCCCTATAAAGCTGCTCGGTCAGTTAGCGAAAGGTCTAGTTCTGTGTGGATTAAGCACATTACGAGCCTTTTCACTTGAAAACTTTCCAGTGTTGGGCAGAAATCGCTGTTAATACAACTCAACGCATGAAATGTATGTGCTGATTGATTTGTTTCACTGCAATACGTTTGCTCTATACTTGATCTGCAGAAGTTGTTAGTTTCAATGATAGACATAATGTGGAATAGAATGAGATTGTGCATAGAACGTCGTTTGTATGGAATGAGAATATTGCGAAATGTTTTTTGCAGGGAATGAGAAAACGTGAAGAAATTGATAAAAGAATGAGANAAAGAATGAAAATTCATTCAATGAACATGAAAATGCAGTAGAGTGCTTGAAAATGCTTTGAAGTTTCAATAAAAGGCTTGATTCTGCATGGCAATTTCAACAAAACTTTTATCTGATATTGTTAGTGGCTTTTGTTAGTTAAATTTTAACTTGAAATCATAACAAATAACAATTTATTCTGTCGAATTTTGAAATTGGTCATGTTCATTTACGCATAGTAGAGATTGTCAAATAACCTATGGAATGCAAACTATTGCCAATGGGATGCATGCCTTGTTTTTCCCTGCATTTAGCCAAAGAAGATTCAACTGACTGTTATAGTACACACATTTCTATCACTCTCTGAAATGCTATATCAAAATAGCTGTGCCGAGTGAGTGCAATATGCTCGCTTTATAAAGCAGCGCTGAGTGAGTGCAATATGCTCGCTTTATAAAGCAGCGCTGAGTGAGTGCAATATGCTCGCTTTATAAAGCAGCGCTGAGTGAGTGCAATATGCTCGCTTTATAAAGTCAGCGCTTCAATGAGTTGAAAACGAGCAGTCAAACAAGCGCAGCTCACTGTGATAGGAAATATGCGGAAATTATCTATGTATGCCACTCATACACGAGACTATACACATTAAATGCCAATGCCTTTCCGTGTATATATGAAACGCAGATGGAAGTTGCATAGAGAAAGTAAAATGCCTGAAATGAAAATCTTCGATTTTATCGGGAAGGAGTTCCGGATAAAATTTTATCCGATATCCGGAACAAGATCCAGAATAATGATGCAACAATATGTAATTCGCAGACCGAAGACAAAATTAAGAAAACATAGACATTTGAGAAGGACTCAGGAGCTGTAGCAAAAATATCGAAACTCTCAAGACCCACCAATAGATGGACACTGATCAGGCGGTATACATTTTCCTTGATCTCGAACAAATCCCGGAAGACATTCACATTTTGGTGGTCCACACTTTTTCACGCAAGGTTGACCAGTGGGCCATTCGCATGTAGGTTCACACAATGAACTGCACTCCACAAAGCGCTCGTTTGGATCACACGTCGGTTTTGGATCTAAATAATAACAAATGGAAATTACTTGCTCATATAATGAGGTTAGTAACGGTAAGCATCCAATTTTGAATGTGGAAATCGGGAAGACTGATGGGGATGTATAGTACACGAAAATCAGAGTACAATATGATTGAATTGTTAGCACAACGGTTACTTTCTAAAAGCTCGAAACCTACCAGCAGATGGACATTGGCTATGAGGAATACATCTTCCTTGGTGACGAACGAAGCCAGGACGACATTGACACTTCGGTGGACCGCATTCCAAGATGCACAGTTGGTTAGGCGGCGATTCACAGGTTGGCTCACACTTTGAACTGCACGTCACGAACTCCTCATTTGGACCACAGGTTGGATCTGTATGATAGGGAAGATTATTGCTAATATATTCAGCGAAGCGTGAGCAGAAAAACGAATGAAATTGTTCTTAATTTTGTGTGGATTTGAGGTAAATGTGTCAATTTACGCTATATGATTCAGGTCATTTTAAGTGATTCTTAGGAATCAATCATTCACCTGCAGATGGACATTGTTCCGGGAGGATGCATTTGCCTTGATCACGAACGTATCCCGGTAGACATTCGCACTTTGGCGGTCCACATACAGGTGGGCATGGTTGGTTGGGTTTCGATTGGCAAGTAGGTTCACACAATGAACTACAGTTGACGAAACGTTCATTTGGACCACAGAGAGCTGGAGGACCTGAATTATATTTGGACTATTCATTCATAAGCCTGAGTCGTTCAGTAGGTTGACATGTTTGTGCATATCCATGGATGGACGTTGTTCGTGAGGAGTAGATCTCCCATGATCACCGATGTATAGGTCAAAGATAATCCAAATTTGCACAGATCATGAAAGATAATCTCTATTTTCTAGACCGAGCTTGCTTTCAGCT